AACAATTAGTTGGGCGCGGTGGTGTGTGCCTGTATCTCCAGCTAAGCAGGAGGCTGAGGCAGGAGGATGGCTTGAGCCCAGGAGTTGAAGGCTGCAGTGAGCTACCATTGCACCACTGCACTCCAGCCCAGGTGACAAAGCAAGACACTGTAATTTAAAAAAATTTTTAAAAAAAGATAGTCTGCTCCATTCTGGACCTCGCCCCCGCTACAGGCCCCTCCCCCTGCAGCCTAGATCACCTCCCCTTCCAATCAGCTGAGAGGTTTTTCCCTATTGGTTGTCCCCTTCTCCAATCCTGAACTTCCCCCTCTTCTGCGGGGATCCACACTCCCGCTCTCTGCACGGTGGTGGCCCCTGCAATCAAAACGGATCCTCCTTGTATACAACTCCACAGACCCTAAGCTGTCCCCCTCTCCTCACGGCAGGCGTGATTCCAAGAGGCTGCCTCAAGCAACCCGACAACCCCCTCCCATCCCTACTGCGCCCGGTTACCCGGGGTCCCCGTCCTCCCCGCAAGCCCGTCCTCTCTGCGGGCACCTGCGCTCTTGCAGCCTGCGCTTCCCTGCGCTCACACGGAAGCCCCTCTCGCAGACGAGCCCGGACCCCGTCTCCTGCAGAAGCCCCCGCCCTGTCGCGCTTCCACGCGTGCCCGGTACCCCAGTCCCATCCACACAGCCCCCAGCCCCAGCCACTGACCTGTCTCGTGCGCCTTCCGGAGGAGCCAGGCGTCTGCACGGTCCAGCTCGGACACCGGGGGCGACGAAGCCCCGGCGCGGGGGCCGTGGCCAGGGGCAAAGGACCCCCGGGCGCCCCCGCTCCGGGGCCGCTGAGGCGGCAGTAGCGACCTCCGGAAGCGGAGACGAGCCAAGCGGGCGGCCCGAGCCCACCACCAGCCGCCTCCCATGGTTCGCACTACTGCCGCTGCGCGCCGTACCGCCCCACGGGTCTCCCGTAGGTTGCAACCCACGTCACTCAGGCTAAACGGCTTACCCATTGGCTATGCGCTCGCCATTCAGGCCCGGCGTGAACTGTCCATTGGTCGGAATGATAGTGATTCCCCCCTGTCATCTAGGCCGGTAGTGCGCGTCCCTCCTTGATTTTGTCACTGGACTACGAATCCCAGAAATCATTGCGCTCGGGGAAGGCCGATCTTCAGAAGCCGTCAGCGAGATGTCTGCAGGGACTTGTAGTTTTTATCCTTTTCTTTTTTGTTGTTAATGAAGTACATGCCGAACACCTATTGTAGTTTGTATTAACAACTTTAATTCCAATGGCGAGAAAACAAAACGTGGGGCACTTAATAAAGTACCTTTGCAAAATCTCCAGGATCCCAAAGAGGACAGTAAACCTCACAAGTAATTCCAGGGGCCTGAGGCAGGTGGATCACTTGAGGTCAGGAGTTTGAGACCAGTCTGGCCAACATGGTGAAACTCTGTCTCTACTAAAAATACAAAGATTAGCCAGGTATGGTGGTGCACACCTGTCATCCCATTTACTCAGAGGCTGAGGCACAAGAATTACTTGAACTTGGAAGGCAGAGGTTGCAGTGGGTAGAGATCTTGCCACTGCACTCCAGCCTGAGCGACAGAGCAAGACTCCATCCCACTCAAAAAAAAAAAAAAAAAGAGCAGGGCCGGGCGTGGTAGCTCACGCCTGAAATCCAAGCACTTCGGAGGCCAAGGTGGGCGGATCACCTGAGGTGGGGAGTTCAAGACCAGCCTGACCAATATGGTGAAACCCCGTCTTAAAAAAAAAAATTAAAAAAAAAAAAAAAAGAAGAGCCTTCCCTGGACATAGCAGCCTGCAGTTCCAGGAAAAAAAAAAAAAGAAAGAAAAATAAATAAATAGGCCGGGCGCGGTGGCTCAAGCCTATAATCCCAGCACTTTGGGAGGCTGAGGTGGTTGGATCACGAGGTTAAGAGATCGAGACCATCCTGGTCAACAAGGTGAAACCCGGTCTTTACTAAAAATACAAAAATTAGCTGGGAATGGTGGTGTGTGCCGGTAGTCCCAGCTACTCGGGAGGCTGTGGCAGGAGAATTGCTTGAATCCAGGAGGCGGAGGTTGCGGTGAGCCAAGATCGCACCATTGCACTCCAGCCTGGGTAACAAGAGCGAAACTCCACCTCAATAAATTAATAAATAAATAAGAAGATCCTGGCCGTGTGCTGTGGCTCATGCCTGTAATCCCAGCACTTTGGGAGGCCAAATCGAGTGGACCACCAGTCAGGAGTTTGAGACCAGCCTGGCCAATATGGTGAAACCATGTCTCTACTAAAAATACAAAAATTTGCTGAGTGTGATGGCAGGCGCCTGTAGTCCCAGCTACTTGGGAGGCTGAGGCAGGAGAATGGCTTGAACCCAGGAGGCCAAGTTTGCAGTGAGCCAAGATGGCACCACTGCAGTCTCGTCTGGGCAACAGAGCAAGACTCCGTCTCAAAAAAAAAAAAAAAAGGAAGATCCTTCTGTTTCTTAATAGAGGATGTATTGTGGCAGGGAGACATACAGGTGGATAGGTGAGCTTATCATCAGCTACCTATTTCTCCCGATCCCTCCCCTAGTCCAAATCCTTATTGTATTTCACCTAGAAAACTGAAACCAGGATGGCCACTGGTCTCCAGGCTCCCTAAGGTAGATTTCCCATTTATTAATTCAGCAAATATTTATTGAGTATCTACTGTGTGACAGGTTTTGTTTGAAGCACTGGTAATGTAGCAGCAAACAACAAAGAAATTATAAATATTCATGTCCTGAGGGTGGTGACATTCTTGGGATGGACAGAGAACCAAGAAACAATTAATGTAGGCCGGTGGTGGTGGCTCATGCCTGTAATCCCAGCACTTTGGGAGGCTGAGGCAGGTGGATCACAAGATCAGGAGTTCGAGATCAGCCTGGTCAATATGATGAAACCTTGTCTCTACTAACAATACAAAAAGTAGCCGTGTGTGGTGGTGCATGCCTGTAATGCCAGCTTCTCCAGAGGCTGAGGCAGGAGAATCACCTGAACCCAGGAGGCAGAGGTTGTGGTGGACAGAGGTTGTGGTGAGCCGAGATCGTGCCCTTGGACTCCAGGCTGGGTAACAAGCATAAAACTCCATGTCAAAAAAAAAAAAATGTTTCAAGAAAAGATCTGTCTCTTTTTTTCTTTCTTTTTTTGAGACGGAACTTCACTATTGTTGCCCAGGCTGGAGTGCAATGGCACCATCTTAACTCACCTAAACCTCTGCCTCCCAGGTTCAAGCAATTCTCTTGCCTCAGCCTCCCAAGTAGCTGGGATTACAGGTAGGTGCCACCATGCCTGACTAACTTTGTATTTTTAGTAGAGACGGTTTGTCAGGCTGGTCTCGAACCCCCAACCTCAGATGATCCACCCCATCACCCTCCCAAAGTGCTGGGATTACAGCCATGAGCCACAGTGCCCAGCCAAGATCTGTCTCTTTAAGGCGGATTTGTTTTCTCTGCCTTGACCCATTCTGGTATTCAGCTATTCAGCTTCACCTTCTCTCATCAGCATAAAACATTTCACTAGCCAAGAATGTGAAAAATGTGTCTGGAATATTTTCGGCTTGCACTTAATCCCATTTAAAGCTTTGCATTCATGGCCAGCCTGCAGGCTGTGCAGTGCAGTCCATTTGAACTCCCTCCTCTAGCTTAACCCGCTTGGTAGGTCCCCTACCCTTCCTCTCCATCAAATCCAAGCCCTGCCCAGTAGAAGATACAGGAGCTGATTTCAAAAGGGGCCCGGCCCAGCAGGCCTTGTAGCCAAGGTCCCAGGGGGCAGTGGAGGGCTCTGGAAGGTCTTCCTCTCATTGGTGGGTTTAAGCTGGGGAACATCACCAGATGCACATCGAAAGCATCCTTGAAGGCTGAGCACAAGGGCTTATGCGTGTCATCTGAGTGCTTTGGGAGGCTGAGGTGGGAGGATGGCTTGAGGCCAGGAGTTCAAGACCAGCCTGGGCAACAAAATGAAACCTTATTTCGTTTTTAGTTTGTTTTGAGTCAGAGTCTGGCTCTGTAACCCAGGCTGGAGTGCAGTGGTGTGATCTCATCTCACTGCAACCTCTGCGTCCCGGGTTCAAGCGATTCTCCTGCCTCAGCCTCCTGAGTAGCTGGGACTACAGACGTGTGCCACCATGCCAGGCTAATTTTTGTATTTTTAGTAGAGACGGGGTTTTGCCACGTTGGCCAGGCTGGTCTCAAACTCCTGACCCCAAGTGATTCACCTGTCTCGGCCTCCCAAAATGCTGGAACTACAGCTGTGAGCCACCGCACCCAGTCTGAAACCTCATTTTATATAAAAAAAATTTTTTTTTTTGAGATGGAGTTTCGCTCTTGTTACCCAGGCTGGAGTGCAATGGCGCGATCTCGGCTCACTGCAACCTCCGCCTCCCCGGCTCAGGCAATTCTCCTGTCTCAACCTCCTGAGTAGCTGGGATTACAGGCACGCGCCACCACGCCCAGCTAATGTTTTTTGAATTTTTAGTAAAGACGGAGTTTCACCATATTGACCAGGATGGTCTCGATCTCTTGACCTCGTGATCCACCCGCCTCGGCCTCCCAAAGTGCTGGGATTACAGGCTTGAGCCACCGCACCCGGCTAAAAATTTTTTTAATTAGCTGGGTGTATTGGTGTACCCTTGCAGTCCCAGCTACTTCACAGGCTGAGGTGGGAGGGCTGCTTGAGCCTAGGAGATCGAGGCTGCAGTGAGCTATGATTGTGCCAATGCACTCCAGCTTGGGCAAGAGAGTGAGACCCTGTCTTTTCTCTTTTGTTTTTTTAAAGACGGGGTTTCACTATGTTGGTCAGACTGGTCTTAAACTCCTGACCGCAGGTGATCCGGCCGCCTTGGCCTCCCAAAGTGCCATAATTACAGGCTGGAGCCACTGCCCCCGGCTTTAACATTTTTTTCTGATCAAGAGTTCACAGTTGCCTTTTTTTTTTTTTTTTTTTTTTTTTAAAAAAGGTTGCATTTTGTCAGGCTGGTCTCAAACTCCAAACTTCAGGTGATCCACCCGCCTCAGCCTCCCAAAGTGCTGGGATTACAGGTGTGAGCCATCTTGCCTAGCCTAGCTGCCCCCATCTGACCGCTGCTTTGCCTAGAGCAAACGTGAGTCAGGTTTATCTCTTTCCAGGGGCCCCTGAACTTCTAGCTCACCCTCCAGTCTGAGCAAGAATGAAATGTGGAAGCTGCCTCCTGGTTCGTGTCCTGAGAACTGCCTGACCCCATGCAGCCCTGTTTGGCAGTTGGCTTAGTCCCTGTCATCTGTGCAGCTTTCCCAGACTGCAAACCCCTGCTTAACATAGAAAACAAATGTCTTTTTTGGTTTGGTTTTGAGGTGCTTTAGATTTCTGAGACTAGGACATTCTCACTAATGCAACAAACTTTATAAATAAAGATTCTCAGTATTTCAGTTTGGATTTTTTTTTTTTTTTTTTTTTTTAAGATGGGGTTTCACCATGATGGCCAGGCTGGTCTTGAACTCCTGACCTCAGGTGATTCACCCACCTCAGCTTCCCAAAGTGCTAGGATTACAGGCGTGAACCACCGCACCCGGGCTTTTTTTTTTTTTTTTTGAGATGGAGTCTTGCTGTCGCCCAGGCTGGAGTGCAATCGTGCGATCTTGGCTGATTGTAACCTCTCCCTCCGGGGTTCAAGCAATTCCCCTGCTTCAGCCTCCCAAGTAGCTGGGATTACAGGCACACGCCACCATGCCTGGCTAATTTTTTGTATTGTAGGAGAGAAGGGGTTTCATCATGAGCTACCACGCCCCGCCTGGATACATTTAAATTTTTGGGGGGCCAGGCATGGTAGCTCGAGTCTATAATCTCAGCACTTTGGGAGTCAGTCTGTGGCAAGAGGATCACTTGAGCCCAGAAGTTTCAGAGCAGCCCGGGCAACATAGAGAGATCCCGTCATTAAAAATAATTTTTACCTGCCAGGCACGGTGGCTCAAGCCTGTAATCCCAGCATTTTGGGAAGCTGAGGCAGGTGGATCACTTGAGATTAAGAGTTCGAGACCAGCCTGGCCAACATGGAGAAACCCCATCTCTACTAAAAGTACAAAAATTAGCTGAGTGTGTTGGCACGCACCTGTAACTCCAGCTACTCAGGAGGCTGAGGCA